CTCACACTCACACTCACACACACACACACACAGACACACACACACTTCCTTTTAGTCGTGTCTCATAGTTACTTATATTACGTATTATTTCACTTCCACTACAAACATCTATATATCTGAATCTTTTTGTTAACTATGACCTTTAAGCTGTGCATCTTCTTCTCTCTCTCTCTGTATCTCTGGATCTACAGTAAGAGTTGCGAGGGTATGGATTGTTTTCTTTCATCAGTCTGTTTCCCAATAAATGTTTCGATTAATTAGCTTCAAACAGTGACTCAAAGGTGTGACCTGGACGCGAGAACTGGACTTATATCTGCCATATATCTATAGACTGAGTATAAATGCTGTCATCATTAGTACAAATCATTTTAGAAAACTTCTGGATTATATTTGTAGACTTTTAGCTGATTATATGTCAAATTAATCTATTTTTTCAACATGTATGATGTTTGCATGCCTGTAATTATTAATTTCTTTGTTAGTCTTCAGTAAACTCTTCAGATTGATTTCTGTTTTGACTGTTTTGAGTGTTATTTGAATAAATTAAATGTACAATTAAATAGTGTGTGATGAGTAATTATGAAGAGATCCTTATAACGATCAGTAAAGATTCTGCAGTAATTGAGGTTAATTAAAGAGCTTGTGCATGCACTTTCACAATTAGTGATCAATAAGTATCTGCAGTCAGACTTTCACTATGACGAATCTCTTGATACTGCAGATATCACTCAATAACTATATTGCATTTGTTTCTCACAAGCTGAACTGAATCATGTGAATAAATCACACGGTATGTAAAATAAATGATTCAGTGAAGAGACTAGCAAACAGAAAATCATTGTATGATCTCTTAAAGTAAAGTAACCATGTCAAGATCAGGTTAATAAACACAAGGTAAAGTAAATTCCTGCTTAGAAAAGACAATTAAATCGTTCTTCTGTCAAAATAAAACTTCCATGAGCCAAGAAAGTGATCCAAGTGAAATCAGCGAGACATGGCGATGATTGACAGAATATTTTGAAATGTAACATAAATTAAATTGAAAGCAAACGCTTACATTTTCTTTATCAGAGAATGACTGTTATTTCAAAATTATTTCAGTTAACAGTGTGTCACAAGCTTCATCATTAAGATAACATCAGTAATGAATATAAGATAGAATTCATATACATATAAGTAGAAGGCAATTCATCAGTAGGTGGTGTTAGATCATCGGTTTGCTTGATATGAGTCTGTCTTTGCCGCTGTTTAACAGGTCTGAGGTTTTGTGAGTGTGCTGCTGATGAAGAGTAAGCCTGAGGAACTCACCTGGGCTGCAGGTAGAGGGGGAACATCTGTCCGTCTGAGTCCGCTGCACATGAAGCCCGCTGTGGGACTGAAGGGTCACGTTATGAAGCATCTGATCCGGAGCTCAGCATGTGCTGCCTGTTATCCTAATGAAGTTACTGAGCTCTATACAGCCGGAGAAAGAGCGCTTCTCCACGCTTCTCCAGACCACAAACAAAACCCACATTCACAACAGCCTCCGACTGAACCTCAAGCTCTGTGAACTTTTATTACGCTCACGCTGGAGTCAGACCAGATCTCATTTCACACTGCAGACATCACTCTCCCGACCTAAAGATACTAAAGCAAGACTCGGAGTTACAAAGGAAAAGAACAGAGTAATATGATCACTATTTGGTCACGTCTCTTACAGTTCACAAAAAGCATGTTCTGTAGCTACATTCTCATAGTGTTCGGTAGGAGAAACAGAGAGAAAAATACTTTGTATAGAACTTGGCTGCTTTTAAAACACTACGCATCAGTCAAAGCTTTCTGTCTTAGACTTCAGAACTAGTTCTGCATTAATAATATCATCTGTTCATGAAGAGACAGAGTCTGTAGGCCTCATTCATTCCTTCATCCAGATGTGTTTCCTTCGCTCTGTTTGTGATCCTCTCTCGCCCGCTGCTGTCCAAACCTGCTCTCTCTCTGCGTGTGTGTGTGTGTGTGTGTGTGTGTGTGTGTGT